AAGAATTATCTTTGTTGTCTTTTTAACTTTTGTATATTTTTAGTTTTTTTATATTTTATATTAATATGTATGTCTAGTATTTTTTCTTTATATTTTTTTTTACTATATATTTCTATTTATTTTTGTTTTTTCCTTAATTTTTTTTAAATCTCTCAATTCTGTTACGATCTCTATTTGTACACCCATCACAAGCGCCAAAACTGACGCCACTTGCAGWGCCAAGTGCGGCGCGCTTTTTTGTGTTTCTTTCCTTTATTTTTTATTTTTTACTTTTTTTTTAATTTTTGCTCGCCGCAAGAAAGTAATTGCTGTTAATGTGCGCTGTTCATATGCTCTGCAGCAGCAGCAACATCTTCGTGCAGCATTGCCGTTTCGCTGCTTTGCCTTTTGTGTCATTTTGACAGTCGTCGCTCTCGCATATTTCTTTTTCGTAGCTGCAAAACAGCAAATTTTATGTAAAGTGTGTCACGACGCCACTTTGTCAACGACTTTAATGAGCAACAAAAAGCTTAACTCAGTTAAACGCAACATAACACACACACGACAAACAAACAACAACGAAACAAGCTAAAAGTGTGTGGGCACCCTGCAAAAGCGCCTCAATACCACAAGTATGTTGTTGCTTTGTTTGTCTATCCGCCAACGGGCTGTCATAATTTGGATTCAATATAACATCTTCGCAGCCACACAAACACACTTCACATTGTAATTKTTGTTGGTTTTGTGTTATTTATTTATTTGTCGTTTGCTAAGTGTTTGGTGTTGAAAGTGAAACTTGGCTTTTGTTATACGTTTGCGTTGTACGTTTACTTTCAGCTGTCACTGTTGATCTTTGCTATTTTTTCGTGTCAAAACAGTTGCACAAATCCAAGCAAGTGACAAGTAATAAATAATACAATTTGTTATTAGTTATAGCGGTCACTTGGCGCAGCCTTCAACTAAGCAATTTGCAACAAACTTTGATGTTTTGTCACATGCTTAAATCTTTTGCTGTTGTGCAATGCAACGCTCAGTCAGTTAGTTATTTATGAAATAGCAGGACAARCAAAGCGCAAAATATATCTGTTACTCTTCTAAGCTTTCTACAAATAACGATGACAAGCTGAATTTTTATTGAAGATTTTATTTTATTTTATTTTTTTTTTGTACCGAAAAGCAATAGAAATATAATCTAACTATCGAGTGTAGTTATTATATTTTATTCGTTTCACCTAAAATAAAATTATTTTCAACTAAAAATTTTAAAAATATCTAAAAATCAAGTTTGAGAAATGTTTATTCGATTGGATGAAACGCCTGCTTAAGTGCATAACATCAAAAGGGTACTATTTTTACTTTTGATGTTATGCACTTATGCAAGCGTTTCTTCCAATCGCCTAAACATTTCTTAAACTTGATTTTTGGACTAGACTTTGGCTCTTTCAAGAATTTTCATGCATTTTTCTAATTTTTGAAACAGGCCAAAGGGAACCACATCTGGTGAATATGAATACTAGGACATCGTTAGAGTATTGGTTTTTGTACAAGAATTCATGAGAAAATTCTTTGATAAAGTACAAGTAATCCAATGCAACTTAGCTTTTAAATTGAATGACTTCAAATTCTCCTCCGGCTAAACACAGTTATTTAGAATTACTTCTTTTAACCAACTATCTAATATGACGCATTAGTGAATATATAAAATATTTTACTTTTATTAGAAACTCATACCAACCTGTCTAACGTTAGCAGCAAGCCGAATAAGCAGTTAATGCAGCTGAAAATTGTATCATATTTCAGAGGAATGTATACGAACATACTAAAAAAATKGCCAATTTGAGGTTTTTAAAATTCCTTTCAATTTTTGAACACACCTCTCATATCTCACCTCTATATAAATGCGAAGGTATAACTTAAATAGTTATATTTCACAAAATGTCTATACAAAAGTTAGTAGMAAGCGAGATCTCTGGAAAATAGAAATCGTATAGTACAAAATAATTGCTGTGGATTTTTATTTTTTTCCGTATTCCGTATTCCGTCCACGAAATTTCCTTCTTGAACGCATTGATAAACAGACCTTTGACTAATAACTAACGTTAGGCGTTCACTTGAGAAACAACTGAAACAAGACCTCGAGCTAGTGCTGTTTTTTTCTTGTTTCCTGTATATTTATTGTACATGAAATAAAAATATATCTATCTATCTATCCTTTTTCTTAGAKAAGTCAAATATTTTTTCAATTAAAATATGAATTATCCGAACACTCAAAAAATACAAATATTTACAATATTTGCTTTGAATTTTTCGGAAATAAATAAAAATCCACAGGAGATCCATCTGGCGAATATAGAGGTTGGGAAATTGTTAAAGTTGGTTAAATTAAAAACATTTGATTYTTTTTTTTTGGAGATAAGAAAACTCATGTTCTGTGGAAGAGAAAAGCTTAATTTATAAAAATTTCAACTCTGAGAGATTTTATTTTATTAGAATGACTATATAAACAAGTAAAAAGAGCTAAGTGACTG